CTCTCAGGTCAGTCAATGTATGGTCTGAGTCACTCCAAGCCCCGGCGTCTCCAGTGGACGTGGCTCGGTCGAGCGGAACTGCAGTTTGGCTGCTGGACACTTCATGTGTCCACGCTGCAGATGTTCATACTGCTGCATTTCAACCAGCAGGAGGTAAAATCTATGTGCGCACACACTTGCGTGCACGTGTGCCCACACGTAGGTCAGCAAAGGCTCATCGATGACATCACTCATAGTCCGCCTCTCTTTGCAGGAAGTTGAGGTTGAGTCACTGCTGCGAGGAACACAGTTGTCTTCTTCTATCCTGTTGCATGCTCTGACTCCATTAATTAATGAGGGGGCGCCGTTGAGCTGCAGCCAACCAGAAGACCCCATAAAAGGTCAGAAACATACACACACACTCTCAGATTCACTTTTGAAGCCCAGTGGGCAAAAGGGTAACCAATACATGGTTCTTCTTTCAGGTGTTCTAAGATTAAACCAGAACATCCTGTCTCAGAGTCAGGATGGCACCCCTGCGTGCCTCCGCCTCCTGCCTAAGCAGACGTACTTGAACGTGGATGAAGATGCGGCAGGAACCCTGGAGAAGAAGAGGAACTACATCTACTGCCTGATCGTCCACATCATGAAGCGGGAGAAGGAGATGCACATCGACAACTTAGTCTTCAAGGTCAGAGATTGGACATCGACCTGATCGCTGACGACCAATCAGCAGACAGCTCTCTCACTCTGCTCTCGTCACCTACAGGTGCTGGACTCGTGTCAGAAACGAGACGCCGTGCGGCATCTGGGTGGCAACATTGGCGGCTTCAGCTGCAGCACGGCCGATGTTCTTTCGTGCATCATGCATGTCATTAGCAAAGGCTGTGTCCGCCGCAATGAGGACAATCTACACATTGTGGAGTTTGTTCCTGAGGACCCGTCCACGCCTCAGAAGGGCCAGGCCCAGTTCTCCTTCAGCCACACCGATATAAGGAAAAACTCGAATGCAAACGAGCCCCACGCTGACATCAGGTTTGTTATATTTCAGGAAACGCTGTTTAAGAA